TTGGAGTAAAACCTGCAAACAGTTAAAAAAATAAATACCCACATTAATTAGATAAAAAATCAGACTGTATAAAAAGCTCCCCTACCCCTTTAAATGCTTAACGGAGAGAGAAACCTTTTTAGTTTGATTCTGTGATGCCATCATAGAATCAGGTAATGTATGAGTTCCTGGGCTTTGCTGGTGTCTGCCCACTATCTAGATTGACAGGTGTAGTTTTGTTTGATAAACTCGTATCTGAACCTTTTGGAGTGTTTTCTTCCCTTTCACCTCAGTTCCTCATAATTGAGTTATGATATTTATATATTCATCAGTACAGCTTTTGCTCCTAACTATGACTTTTGATGAAATCTTCATGTATGTAAGCTGGATGCAGCCGAACGCCATTGGCTGAGGAGCATCTGCAGAACGGATTGCTCAGCTTGTATTGTAATATGTACCCTTCCCACAGGAGTCTTGCTGCTTAGGCTCTTACCCTCATTCTTTTAGCTACCTTTGCAGGCTCTGACTCATATGTTTCTTTTTTTATCCAGGAAAAGATGCAGAAATGCTTGGAGCCATTGGAAAAAAAACTGCAAGAGATTGCCCACTGCAAATCCCGAGAGGAAAAGAAACCTGGGGAGCTCAAGGCAGGTGTTGCATATTCCGCATACTGTCGAATGACAGAGTATTTATTCTTAATTTAATTCTTCACTATAGCAAAAAGAAAAACAGCTTTAAAATGTATGTCAGACTTCCGCCTTTTGTAGCTCCATCCCCACTTTAGTTAATTTACACATATTTCTTACACTTCAGAGTGCTTATTTACCACTCCAGTAGACATTACCAATTCCTTAAATGATTTCTAGGTCAGATGAGAAAGCCTGTCCCAGTTTCAAAAATGTTCAAAAGGTATAAACGTTCCAAATTAATAGTAATAATGAAGAAAATTTCTCCAGGTAGGAGTTCAAAGATGACTACTTCATAGATGTTTAGAGGCATTAAGAACATCCACAAAAGCAGTAAAGTAATAATAAAGAAACTTATTAAAAAATAACTGGTTCAGCATAGAAGCTTATTATATTATACAACCCTTTCTCCTGTGCGTCTGCAGCGGAAGGTTGAAGACCGTCGCCAGCTCATCATTAGTGAGTTTGAGGAGCTGCATTTATTTCTAGCAGAGGAACAGGAAATATTAATGCAACGCCTAGAGAACGAGGAGAAGGAAATTTTACAGAAGTTGAAGGAAAATGTGACAGAGCTGTCAGAACAACGGAGTGCCCTCAACAGCCTTATCACAGAAATTGAGGAAAAGTGTTTACAGTCAGGCATGGATATGCTCAAGGTATGCGCCCCACAGGAATGGAAGGGCTTCTGTCTCTGAATCAGAGAATGAAGTGTGTTCTGGGAAGAGACTGGTCATTTCTGGTACAGTTCAGGTTGTTTTGGTTTCTATAACAAAAAGTGGGTTTAGAACAGGAGGGAAAAATCTTGAGAGGTTTTAAGAAATTTTCATAGGAAAATGCCTTCCGAGAATATATTTCTACCCCACT